GACACCTGATTTGCAGTGTGGATGCACTTCACTGTTGCAAGATCAAATGGCGCAGCCATTGTTTATGAATGATCAGCGTCCCCTCAGTTGTGCCTTGGCCTACGGTAGATAGAGGCCCTTTAACTGTAACCCGTCTACGGAGTGATCAGCACTGCTGAATTTCAGCTTTCTTAAGGAAATGTGACTGGAACAGGATAGAAATTAATTCCCCGTTTAATCCTTCAGAGCTGGTTCTCAGTGCCGCATGGTAGTATTAAACAGCAGGGATTGAGCCTGTCAGTACCACAAACTATGACTGCCTCTTGGATACTGGAAGCTGATATGCCAATGAGCTTTACTGTTGTGTAATGTATTAGCTCTGACTGCGAAGCTTCCAGTACCAAAACAGGAAAAGATGCTGGAACAACAGCTTTTGGGTTTCTCATTTTTTTCTTTAATATTTGTTGCAGGTCATTTGAACCGATCCTTCGACTCCTTCCGCAAGGGATCTCTCCTGTCAGCCAGCACTGGGCTACTTGGGCTCTCTATAACCTCGTCTCTGTTTACCGTAAGTCCCTCCATAGAGAATATTATAAATACAGTGAAATGGTTGGGGCTGTGAATCTCCATACACTGTGCCTGTTAGACAACACGGGTGGCGAAAGGTCAAGGGAAACTATTTTCAGAGGCTTGTAGGTTAATGCAGAGTATGTGGCTAATTCCAAGGCAGCTCCTTGAAGTTACCAAGGATGTTCAAGGGGTGTAGCCAGAACTAGGAAGACAACATAGACTTAGTGCATGAGAACAGCCTTCTGGAGTTTCCATCACTCTAGCAAGCTTGAGTGCTGAATTGGTTTCTATTTCCGATACTTCTGCAGATTGGATGTACCTAAGAGGCTGAGACACTAGAAAGAGAAACCTGTACCCTATGGCTTACCAGCCAGCAACCTTCTCACTGCTTCTCTATCTCCTCTTGATTTGAGCTCATTGCCTTGGGAGAAGAGTCAGGCTGCAGAATGTAGAGATTTGACCTAGTAGGAGTGAAGATTTCCAGGGTTTTATTTCCCCCTTCTTTACAGCTGACAAATACTGCCCCCTGCTGATCAAAGAAGGTGGAATGCCCCTTCTGAAGGAGGTGATTAAGATGGCTTCAGCACGCCAGGAGACCAAGGAAATGGCCCGGTAGGAAACCAATAAGTTATTAAACATGCAACCTTAGTTTAGGATTTTTTATATATAAGCATGAGAGTAAAGCTATCAAATGTAGGCCAATGAATATGTGATTAGGGATGGAGAGAACACAGTAGTAGTATGCATAAGTAGATAGAAAAGTTGTGAAGGATATAGGTGAATTGAGAGTTGTTCATAGATGGGGAATAGACAAGGATGAATGGGTGGATGAGTTTGGTGGATAGGACAGTAAGGTATCAATGGACTGCTGGAAGGTATCTAGATGAATAGTAGAGCCATACCTCTCAACTGGATCTGATTATGAGGATAGCCTCCCGTTTATTTCCATCCCTCAAACCTAGTGTTATCTTACTGTTTATACATGTACATCATTGACACCAGAAGAGCTGAATCACGTGACAAAATTGATGGAGAATGTCTTACATAGTAAAATGAATCTACCATTTTCCCAAGCTTCTTCCTCTGACGTTTGGTATCAGAACCTTTCTTTTAGGTCATTCTTTCAGATTTTAAAAGCCAGTTGTATACATCTAATCCATGGCAAGTTGAGAGCTATGACTTTATAGATATAGGGAAAATGGAAAAGATGGGTGGTTATTTGCTGGGAATATGTGTATTGTGTATATGTGACAGACACTTCCAGTAGCTGAAAGAATGAGAAATGGTGGAGGAGATTAATGAAGCTTATGGAAGATAGAGTAGGAGATTGAATAATAGAGTAGATGAATTGTGTATGGGTCAGAGGCATGAATGGCAGGGTCAATAGAAGAATGGTGAATGGAAGGTATATGAATAACATGGTAAGTAGATGGTAGATGGCAAGGAATAGCTAATTGTAGACATATGGGTACAAGGATATATGACAGAAAAGGTGAATGATGGATGTTTGGATGAGCAGATTATTAGATGTGTTGATGACAGGAAGGTGTTTGGATGGGAGATGAGGGTGTGATGGCCAGTGAATAATGGGTGGGTTGATAAATGGACAGTTGTGGATCTGGATGTATACTAATGCTGGAAGGGATTGGTTGTAAGTGGGTAATTAGATATGTTTTTTGTTGAGATATACTTGTAACACAGGTACTGGGTTGATGCATGTCTCAGGATATACTGCCTGATAAATACACAACATTTAAATGTAGGTGACAGTGCCTTATGCTTGTGGCCCACTTCATTATTTTGTTAGTCTTTGAACTAAACCTTTTCTCCTTGTCCTTATTTTGTCCATAGGAAAGTTATAGAGCACTGCAGTAACTTTAAAGAGGAGAACATGGACACTTCCAGATAGAGGCAATGATCTAACAACGCCTCTTGCCAGCACTGTATCCAGCTTCTCTCTAATTCACTGTATATAGAGAGGACTCTTTCTCACCAGCTTGGCTGTTGGAAGGAACCTGCGTGTGTGTGTGTATATGTGTATGGGTGTGTGTGTGTGTGTGTGTGTGTGAGAGAGAGACACTCAGTAGATGAAGGTGCACAGGGGTGGGGTGGGGGGGGACCTTTTGCACAACAAATGCTTTCCTTAAATTAGTAGGTTTTTCGTTATGAAGTACGGATTGAAGTTTTGTGTATATGATTTCTGTATAAAAAACAAAAAAAATCATGTATCTTTTGACCTTTTTTAGACCACATGAGAAGCCTCAAATGAATGTGAGCTTGAAGATCTAGCTGTGTGATTGATATTGTGACTTTTTTATTTCACACCTTTAGACAATTCCCCTTCACTATATTGCATGAGGTCTTGTCATGTTCACAAGAACAGCCAGTCCAGCATCATGGCCACATCTCTACAGTGGGGTTGTAGGCACTGATCAATGATTTATTTGCCTAGAGGGGAAAAAATAATGGTAAGAGATTGAGACCAAAGGGATCCTAATATTTGTAAGTAGAATAGAAAGGGGAGAAAGAGCCTTCAAGCCATTTCAGTTGGTTTTTGTATGGGGGTGCTACTAGTGGAAGCTTGATGGATTGTATCAAGTGCATTTGGAAATTCCTTGCTGTAAAGCATTCCCATTAACCCTTTAAACCCAGGAATTGTTACTTTGCCCAGTAGCGCTACAGTGGTAGCTTTTAACCACCTGGCACCACAGGGTGAAGGAAAGGCCTGAAAACCCAGCTGCCCCACCCTTGAGAATGGAGGGTGTTTTCCTGCAAGGGATACTGTGCAATGAAGAATCAGGTTCATTCACAGAAGGGTCCAATATCTCTGGCTCTCCATGCAAATCCTTTTACCACCTCTTTTTTTTAAATTGCGTTTTCTGTGTTTTATGGTACAGGCTGCAAACACCAGAGGGTGGGTTTCCCCTCACCCCTGGCCAGCTCTCTCTGGGACCCAGGCCAGTCATTACAGCATGATTTGGTGACTTTGGAATTTGTGAGGGACTGGGAGTTTTCTCTCTTTTCTTAAGTCTGGGCCAACATTTGCCATGTTAAAGGGGATTCAGCCTCCCTGTGTGTCAAACACATTGCAGCACAAACCCTTTGGTCAAGAGTGCCGACTGCCATTCCACTCCACTCACACACACTCGCCATGTCTTCTGGGAGACAAAAGGCCCCACTTTCCTCCAATTCATGCCAGTACTAACCAGTACAACTCTATTCGCCTCAGTGGCATTATGCCTGATTTACAGTGGTGCAAGTGAGAGAGAAATCCAGCTCAGGATCTTCATCTGTATGACTTGCCAAGGTTTGCCTTAAAGCTAGGTCCCCCAGCAGCGCATTGTGCAACCTGCAGAACCCAAACTTAGGAACCCGCTCCTTGTCCTGGTTCTTTCACAGTTAAGATAATCTTCTCCCCTTAGAAATGGCTATGTATCCAGGAGCAGCCAGGAGAGATTTGGCCTACTTGAGCTGGAACATTTCAGGCCACTGAGACAGCCACTCTCCCAAGGCTGCTCTCTCCTCCTATCTGTTGCGCTCTGATTTGATTCACTGCTATGACTGAGGTTCTCCTGATGCTCGGGGTAAATGCTGTGGTCATTGTGCCTGGTATGGACAATTCTTAGAGCCTTTAAGTGACAGGACCCAGCTGCCCTGGAGAGGTTTAGTTTTTCTGCTCAGATGGCGTTAATGTATTTTTTTTCCTTTTTAACCCCATGTCATTTGTTTTGATGTTGGGCTTTGTTTGTTTGTTTGTTTCCTTCCTTTTAAGTACTTTTCAAACTTATATATAGATATATATACTTGTGTCACTTTTGATTGTTTTCATGTGTTTTGGAAAATTTGACAAATTGTACTTTTGAGGTTCTTTGCTTCAAATGTATTTCCCTTTCCCCCCCTCTCCCCAAGGACTTGCATCTGAATAAGCTTCGGAACAGGGAGCTGATTTCAAAGTACATGCTCATGCTTGTCAATCTTTCAGTTAGATCCAGAACTAGATGGGGCTACAAACATTGCTCACCTGTCTCCTTGCCCATGGAGAGCCTGGGCTTAGCATTTGTTCATGTAACTATCCATTCCGTGCTGAGAGGCTAATGCAGATAGCCTAAAGCACTTGCAGTTCTGCCCATCTCTTGGAGTACCACAGATGTGAGAGCAACAAGGAACTTGATAGGGTCCCCTCTGTGCACTAACAACTGCTATGTTGATGGAGCTGATACCACTCAGTACTTCCCAACCATGGTTAATGCAGGATTTGGCCTTGCAGCATAGCCAGAACCAAATGATGCTTTAACCATAGTCTACCAGGATTTTAGCAGGATAGCACTGTGTTTTAGGAACACAGTTAAAACATGGCTTGTTTCCATCTGTTACGAGACTGAATTGTGTCAGGGTCTGCTGTATTGTAACCAGGGTTTTAATGTGACATGTGGGTGTGGAAGCTTGGAGGACACCTGTGACCACCAGCTCCGGGACACATCTACAGGAAGCTGCTGTTTTTGCACAGTTTGATTATGTCCCATGCTTCCTGAGAAGCCAGTCACTGTATGGATGTAATTGACCTCCAGAGGGATCAGCAACTCAATGGGAAAGTTAAGGAGGTTGCAGCTGAATACTGCTCCTACCTAGTTCATAGCTTCCCACAGTGTGGCTTGTCCTTCCTGTTATGACTTGTCTGCTCCACCTGGTTCTGAGTGCAGGGAGAGATGGAACACTTGCTTCAGCTTTGCCATCTACCACTTTCTCCCCACATGTGACTGAGATCTTGTACTGCAATCTGCATTGGCTTGGCACTTGTTCCACCAGGCCCAAGGAGATATGAGGCATAGTTTGTGGAAAACAGTGTTAACGGGCCCAGCTTGGACAGGGAACAGTATCATCTGCTCTCTGCTTACTGACGCTCTTTAATGTACAACTTATCCTCTGATCATCTATCTGCATCTATCTACTCCTTTCCCCAACACCATAGCTAGAATTATCTTATCCTTGCTGCTATTGCCAGTGTTGCTGACACAGTCACTGGATACAAGCCCCTAGGATAGCTTTAAAAATAACTTAAGAAGATTGGAAGGCAGGATGATGGCTGGGGCAGAGGCTGGTGTGGGGAAAGGCAGGATGGGGGCAGGAGATGAGTTAAATTTGTCTGATGCCTCCACATCTAACCTGTGATGAGAGGTCACTCCATATTTGAGAAGTAAATGCTAAAACAAGAGCTGAGCCTTAACTCAGCAAAAGCCCTTCAGAGACAGACCCTAGGACGATTGCTAAGATCCCCTTGGGTGTGGAGATGGGCCTGAGACTGAACCATAAGCAAAATCTTTTCAAAGTTATTCTGTGTTTGTGAGGACTGATAGGTTCACACAGGTTAATCTGACAGGAGAGTTCTGGTCTATACAGTTTGTAAATGCCTGAGGAGTAGGGGAGGCACTATCCATAAGCTAGTCAGGATCTATACAAGATAGATACTTCACAAGAGAGAGAAGGGTTTTGTCTGAGCACAGGCCTGGGATCCAGGAACTCCCATGTTCTAGTACTGGCTCTGTAGCCTTAGTCTAGTCATTGAGCTCTGCGTGCCTCAGTTTCCCCATCTGTAAAACAATAGGTATAACTATTTACTTGTCTGCTCCCTAGGGACACTGTGAGGCTTAATCCATGACAGTAAAGCACTTCTGGAGGTGAATAGGTGCTAAGTAATTATTATACATGGGTCCATCCTGGGACAGACCTGCCATCTCCAGCTATCTCCCATCAGAGCACACAACATGGTGCAATTCTGATTTTGTGACTGTCTCTAGGAACACCTGGTCCCATCACAAAATAGTGAGTTTGAATTCTCAGGGCTGCCCTAAGTGTGCTGGCTAGCCTATGCAGATAAATCCTACGGGGCCTTTCTGCTCCACCAGGGTAAAGCTTCCTCAGTGCAACCCTGAGGACATACCAGCCCTATGTTAGCTGGAAATTTCAGTTAACCAGAGTGGCACTGAGCAGAGCCAAGTAAGAAAACTAAGACAGGGACTGTCAATGCCAATTGAAATAAGGCTGGAGAGTGATTTCTGAGGCACTCAGAACTAAATGATGTGGCAGAGAGACTCCTCTCACAGTATCCTCCCAGGGCTGAGGCTTACCCACTTCCTCTACACAACCTCAATTTTCACTGAATGTTAAACAGTAGGGCAAACGTAACATGAGTGCTTAAATCAGTGATTCTCCGCAAAGATGGCACTGACAAGGGACCCTCCACCTGGAGTTTAGGTAACCTGCACCCTGGCTAGAGGTCTCACTTGTCAGAGACAATGGCATAGCCTTGAGCCTCCAAAGTGCTGAGTGCCCTCCATTCTCATTGCAATCAACAGGAAAGACATTTTACAGTAGGTGTTCAGCCCTTAGCAAGTCTTGTAGGAGCAATAGCCTCTACGTATTGGCCTATCAAGATGTGTAGCCTTAACTAGTAACACCTAATAGCACAAGAATAGTTAATTTGTACAGGGCTAAGAAGACAGATACAGCACAGATAATCTGAGACCATGAACACTTAACACTATTGATAGTTCATCTTCACCATTCACATTCAACTAACTACTCTAGACCCGCTACTGACCTAACAACTTCCATCCTGGGAACTAAGCACTCCAGTTCCTGTGCTGAAGCACACTCAGCCCTGAAGATTAGGGTATGTACATCCTAACATTTGGTGGTGGTGCAGTGAACACACAGACAAAAGAGAGGGGTTGTTTTTTTAACCCCTGTTGCCTGGATTAGGCATCTTGTGGGGTCACCTGTTTGGGTCTCTTTCTAGGGAAGTGAGTGCAAGGAGGGTTGCTGACCACACTTTTCTATATGAACCGCTTCCAAACCAATTAGTGGAGCCTCACTTAAGGCAGTCTCAGAGTTGGTTGTGCTGCACTTTCCCTTCAGGAAGATAATTTCTTTGGGGGTGAGGCAGCAGCCACCAGGCTATGGACACTGGATTAAGATCCCATTTCAAAGAAAATATGTGGCCTCTGGAATGATGCAAAGGGGTTTGCTCAAAGTCAGATGCTAAACAATGGCTTGTGCTGGAAAAGATAGAATTAAAAGTAGTAGGAACCACTTGAATCCAAGACAACCAGAGTGTATAAAACAAGAGGAATAATGGTTTTATCAGTGATTGATGGAAAGCAAGATTGGGGGCTGGCTAGGAAGGCAGCACTTATAAGTAAAGATGGAAGAATTCCTGCTGCACTCAAACACCGCTCTTACAGATTAAATTCTGACTCCAAATATCTGTCACTGAGAGAAACTCTGTCATTTTTCCTTGTAAAAAAAGAAAAATAAATGTTTTAAGTAAGGCTAACAATTAACCAAATACGTACTTCCTTGTTTAAAAAAGTTTGTTGTATTAAGCAACTTCTGCTTTCACTGTGTCCACTGATCAGCCTGATGTTGAGAGGTCTGGTTTGAACACTTGTACATGGTGAAACCAAGCTAATTAATTAATTTAATTAAAATGCATATCTGTTGCTTCCTTACACTTCTGATTGAATTAACTTTTCCGTTGTTTCCATAGGGATACCTGCTCTGTATTAAACCTAGTGCTTAACAATCTCTTGCTCCTTTGTCTGTGAATATGGTTTATTTGGATAAGTTACTGTTCCATTTGTTGTCATGTGTCTAATTAAACATGGAAGGAACTGCTGTGTGTTGATCCAATTCAGTTGCTTTTTGCTTTCATGACTCTAAAGAGAGATGATGTTTTTTTGTCACTGGGAGCGGGGGGAAGAAGACTATTGTTATGAAGTGAGGTGGATGGGAAAATCAGGACAATATTCAGTTATGCAGAGTGTCACCAGGCTTATCTGCAGTGGATATGCCCAGTATTCATGGGCATAACCATACTGAGTGAGGAAGCTAACTGTGGGAAGGACTCTCTTACCTGCTTTAGTGCCACTGTGACTTCCTACTTAAAGGACCCAATGCTGCAAGCTCCCGAGTACACGCATCTCCCATTGAGTTCAGTGGGAGTGCCAGGTTCTCAGCAGGCCCTGGATAGGCAGGGTGAGAAGGAGGATCTGTCCCTAGGGAGCTGGAAATGTAATAGGGTAGTGATTCAGTATGTACTGAGATGTGGTTTGTGTAAAATTCCAAGTTGAGTAGATGCCATCAGAATCTAGATTTTATACTGCAAGACCTCTGCCGCACTCATGTCCAATTCACTATAGGATAGTTTCTAGAATTAAGCCCAAATTTTATCCACCTGGTGATTTTTTGGTTTTGAAATGTAAGGTAGAGGAAAGCCTCAAGCTCTGTACCAATTTCAAAGCTGCAGGACGAGGTAAATAGCACACTACATGTCGCAATATATAGTTTAAGTCACAAAGGTGAAAGATAAGTTCCCTTCATCAGACTAGGGGGCACTCCCTGCAGTCACACAGAAGATGAATGTTTGTGCTAAAGGGATCAGAGTAGTTAGTAGCAGAAATAGTTCATGTTGTTGCGATTTAAAATTGCCATCCTTAGGCTTCAGATCAATACCTCACTGAGATTAACTGAAGGCAGTTTCCACCTCTCTTGTCTGTCTGGAGGAACAGCCTGACTACTGCACTGGGTCACTGTGGGAAGCTTTGCTGTTCAACCAAAAGAGTTAGAAACATATTTTTATGATGGTTCCTCCATAATTTTAATGAATATCCTCAGCAAAGCACTAGTACAGGCTCAATCTTACTCCTGGAAGGCTTTCTCCAATACAAAAAGATTACTGGATTTGCTGTAAGGTTGTTAAAACATGATGGGGAATGAACTAGAGAGTCTAAAGATCATTTTCAACATTTCAGCTTTGCTGTCCCAAATAAATGATTTATAGTCAACCCTGAGCACCCTTAACAGTTTGCACTTTACTGTCATGGGACCAGCAGAGGGAGCACTGACTTACTATATCCCCACAGATGGCCTGAAATAATCAAGAATGCTGATGTACAACCAAGGAAGGAAAATAAACAGTCTGGTTTATACTCAAACAATAACAGGAAGGAATCAGCTGCTTGCCATGTGGAGGAGGATAAAATGTGCAGGGAGAAGAATGATACTTTCAAGCCCCTACTGTTTTTTTCTAGCTATGATGGACAGAAAAAAATTACAGTGTAAAATAATAGTTGTCAGCAAGGCTCTGTCTGCACTAGAAGTGAAAAGGTGTTGGGACCGATCTTTGCTTGTAAAACCCATACAATGCTTTGGATCCTCACATATGAGCTGTAACAGGCATTTTACAAGCTCTGTTTGTATTGATTTGACTGCCTGGGTTGAGCTAGTTCACAAAACAGAGCCACACTTTTCACTGCACATGCTCTGCTGCAGGGTCTTGAGAATCCTGTTTCCCCGGTGTCAAGCATCCCTGTGGGTAGTTTTAGTGGAACTCCCTAGTTATAGGTATATGATGCCCAGTCCTTGCTGCGGGTAGCTATAATGCACATTTAACCTTCATGAGCACCATTGTCATGAGAGTGCAGAATCTTGTGATAGCTTCCTACATTTTTTTGCTTCCTATAATGCCTGCTTAAATAAAAAACATTGATTGTGCTAGGATCTGGCCTGAGATCCATTTGCAGAGCCTTGGTTGGGATCATAGAAGATTAGGGTTGGAAGAGACCTCAGGAGGTCATCTAGGCCAACCCCCTGCTCAAAGCAGGACCAACCCCAACTCAATCATCCCAGCCAGGGCTTTGTCAAGCCTGACCTTAAAAACCCTCTATGGATGGAGATTCCACCACCTCCCTAGGTAACCCATTCCAGTGCTTCACCACCCTCCTAGTGAAATAGTGTTTCCTAATATCCAACCTAAACCTCCCCCACTGCAACTTGAGACCATTGCTCCTTGTTCTGTCATCTGCCACCACTGAGAACAGCCGAGCTCCATCCTCTTTGGAACCCCCCTTCAGGTATTTGAAGGCTGCTATCAAATCCTCCCTCTTCTCTTCTGCAGATTAAACAAGCCCAGTTCCCTCAGCCTCTCCTCATAAATCATGTGCCCCAGCACCCTGATCATTTTCGCTGCCCTCTGCTGGACTCTTTCCAATTTGTCCACATCCTTTCTGTAGTGGGGGGGGGGGGGGTAAAAAGCAGCCCCAAACTGGATGCAATACTCCAGATGTGGCCTTACCAGTACCAAATAGAGGGGAATAATCACTTCCCTTGATTTGCTGGCAATACTCCTACCAGTGCAGCCCAATATGCCATTAGCCTTCTTGGCAACAAGGGCACACTGCTGACTCATATCCAGCTTCTCATCCACTGTAATCCCCAGGGCCTTTTCTGCAGAACTGCTGCTTGGTCAGTCGGTTGGTCCCCAGCCTGTAGCGGTCCTGGCACTGCAGCGCCCAGTGCAATCTCTGCGCCTGCGGCTCCACAACTTTTAATACGGTTTAATAACCACGCCCCCCGCTCAAGCCCCACCCCTTCTGCCATGGCAACCACCCGGCCAATCCTCGCTCCTCACGCTGCCAAGAGGCGCGGCTGAGCCTGGGCCTGGGCTGGGGCCGCCCTTCCGGGTTGGGAGCCGGGGTGCTGAGGCCGCCCCCTCCCGGGTTGGGGCGATGCGGCAGGGGGCTGCATGGGGCGGCGGCTACCTGGTGCGGGCGGCGCACACGGGGCTCAGCTGGGGCGTCACTCTGGCGCTCTTCCTGCATCGCACAGGTGAGACCCGGAGAATTCCTCGCTGCTGCCATCGGACCCCTGGGATTTCCCTCGCCGGGGGAGAGCCGCTCCCTGAGCACCGGACATGAGCCCTTCGGGCCACAGGCTCAAGTCGCCAGCACCTCGGACCGGGGGGCTGGCTGCTGCCACGAACTTGTCTTTTTTGCCCCCCCCGTTCACCCAGCTCAGGATTATTAATGATTATTAGTGCAAAGCTCACCTATTGGCTGCTTTTCTTACAGCCCCATTGCCTGGAGTCATATGACTGTGAGAATCACAGCTTTCATTTTTTAAAAGTGTTTGGCCCTCATAGGCTAGAAAAATAACATGAAAATATGAACTCTGAAGACTCAAAAACCAGAAAGCCACCCTCGTTCATTACCTTAAAATACGAGATTTTAAAAAATATGTTTTGATGGAGCCAGACTTGTGATTTTTGGACACTTGAAGTTGGCAATAGTGCACCATCATATCTGGCAGGAAAAAAATTACCTCCAAGCGGGGGAAGTGAGAGCATAGGATACTGCTATATCCTCACCCAATGCAACAAGATCCCTGTCCTACCTGGATAGAGGGGAAACCTCACTCCTATTGCTTGGGGGGTTGGTATTTGATATTTGAGAAGACCTGGTGCCTATTCCAAGGAGTTTACAATCCAATCTAGTCACACAGCATAATGGAAAACCTATAAACCATGGGGGATTATAATAAAAAGTACCTTTTGTGGTATTTGAGTAATATAATGCTTAACACCCTGAAACCTGTCATAATTACTATTAATCTCTTAATATATAAATACTGTTTTTACTGGATTCTTTATGGCCCTGAATCTTACTCTGACACCTAGATGCTGCAGTGATGGGCACTTTTGAAATGCAGCTATCCTCATAATTCTAGAATAGTTATATACAGCACACTGCAGAACAGCAGGAGAAGGTGACGAGAGATTGAAGTACAGGTAGAGTTGGGGGAAGGACTTGCAAATCAATGGGGGGAAGCTGTTTGCTGATCTCTTAAGTATGTTGTAAGGGCTCTTTGTAAATAGTCAGTTCCCCTTACAGAGGGGACCGCCGTGATGGGTCCCGACTTCCTGAGCAGTTGAGGCATACTTCCCACGGTTGATATAGAATTCAGCCCCACTTTGAATCCCATAGCCAATAAGGTCAAGGAGAGTAACTTGTTGCAGTAAACATTTCACATGGACTTACTCCTTCTATGGTGGCCTCTTTCAGATCTGCGAAAGCAGGAAGAGCATGGAGAGGTGCTGCAGCCACTGATATTTGTCTTACTGGTTCTCTGCTCTGTCTTGTTGTACTTTGTAGTCTCTCTCATGGATCCAGGCTTCATTGAGTCTGATGAGGAAGAGAAGGTAAATCATTCTCTTAGCATGAATCATAGTTGACTGAATGAAGGAACGTGGGAACCAACCTTCCTGGTTATAAAACCTGTAGATTTTGTTTTTCTTTGCAACATACTAGATAAGAATATGCAATATAAACTGTTTTGACATTTAGGATAGAGGACTCTTAAAATGTGTACAAAAGCAGAAGCAGTCACGGAGTTTAGGTTCTATAAAGTGAGCCTCAGGAATCGCACAAATGTTGCTAGGTGCATTTATCAGACCATGCCCCCTTCTGAATTTCCCCTAGCACCCACATGCTCTCCCACTTTGTTTTACTGAGCGGATGCCTTCACTTGTCTCAGTTGCTACAGTTCTCTGTAGAACAGATAGCTGCCTTATGTTCCCTCACTACTGCCAATTGCTGTGCATATGAAAACCAGGATAGAGGTGCAAGCTGGAAGGAAAGTACTCCTTACAACTCTATTTACTGAACAAGGTAATTGTTCTGTTACTGTATCCCTCTTGAAAGATCGATTTGTACAAAAATCAGATGAGTGCTTTAACTAGAAGGAAATATCTCCCAGGTATTTTATATTTATCCTTCTTTAACATGCTTGGACACCTTATCTTGCCTCGTACAAGCAATTTAATATCCATTATCAC